GACATCCTTTCAAAATAAGAGCACCTGCTGACGCTGCCGATTGTTACCTGGGTCGACCCTTCAGACGGGCTGGACCTGGCATTTCCTGATCTACCTGGGAGGCCCCCACTGGGTACGTACACAGCAAAATAGCAGCTCATGTCATCACTTTATAAGCCTCGTGATATCTAGTCATAACAATCAGACTACCAGATTCAATGACGTCAGCCTAAGGAGTCTGAACCAACCACACACACGCACACACACACATCGAACATCACATTCATTTCCAAACAACACAGAGTTAGTCCTGATAGATTGTAGAATTTATAATACAATTCTTAAACGATCCCAACTCTCTCTTTTCTTGTCTCAAGGTCAATAAAGAGTGTTAAATGAACTCCCTGATGATAAAAACAACCTATTCTTCTGATTATAACAAGTGATCTACTTACAGTATATTAAAATACAACTCTAGATCGTTACATCACTCTATTTCTCTACACTGGCTAGGCGACTTCAGGACCTTGAAATGCTTTTACGTAGTCACCCTTTTGTTGCTCAGGTAGTTTGATCATTGTCATGTGATCTCTTGATGATGGAAGGAGGCTTTTGCCCAAAATCTCCCAATGCATGGGCTCATCTTTTACGTAACAGTTGTACTGTTCCCTTTGCAGAAATGCACTGCCAAAGCATTATGTTTCCACTCCCATGCTTCACAGTGGGTATGGTGTTTTTGGGATTCAACTCAGCAATCTTCCCCCTTCAAACACAGAGAGTGGTTTTTATACTAAAGAGTTTTGGTCTTATTTGACCTAATGTCAGTCCCCCAATCTTCATTTGGATCATCCAGGTGATCTCTGGCAAACTTGCAAGCCTGGACATGTGCTGACATAGGTGGAGGGATCTTTTGAGCAGGATTTTAATCCGTAACTGATAGTAACCTTTGTTAATGTGGTCCTAGCTCTCTTCAGGTAATTGACCAGTTCCCCCCATGTAGTTCAGGCCTGTTTTCTCACCGATCACAAACTATTTGTACCCCACAAGGTGAGATCTTGCATGGAGCAGCAAGTCAAGGGAGATAGTCAAATTTTGCTTATTTATTCTATTGTCTGATAATTGCGCCATCAGTTAATCTCTTCTCATCAAGCTGCTTGCCTTTTATGGATTGGCTCATCCCAGTTTTGTACTGGTGGACAATCTTGTCCCCGGTGTCCTTAGACAGCTATCTGGTGTTGGCCACGGTGGGTGCTGGAGATTGATTTTTTTGAAGGTGTGGACAGGTGTCTTTTATACAAATAATAAGTTCAAACATATGCTATTAGTGCAGGTAACAAGTGAAGGATAGAATAGCTTTTTAAAGAAAAAGTAACACAATTGAGAGGGCCAGAATTCTCATTTATTTTAGGTACTAAATATTTATTTTCTGCACCATTATATAAATTCTCCAAAAATAATACAATATGATTTCTTGGATTTATTCATTTTCTGTCCCTGACAGTTGAAGTGTTCCCATGATGAAAATTACAGACCTCTCTCATCTTTCTAAGTGAGAAAACTTGCACAATTGGTGCCTGCCAAATACTTTTTGCCCCTTTTACAAGTTTCCACAAAACAGTTTATGGGAACCAATTTACTCACTTAAATTTAATGCATTATGAATAATCAAACTGTCTTTGATCTCTGAAGCAAATCCAACAACAGTTTTTATCTATTTTACTTAGTTTCGCTCAGATTTTAAACGATTTTTTCTTTTTTGTGTAAAAAAGTAACGCTAACCTGCATGGTTCCTTCTAAAACTAGATTAACATCTCTGTTTTGAGATAAATTTCTATCTTAAAAATCTCATTTGGATTCTCCTGACTCATCCCTTTAGTTTTATGCTGTAGGCTTAGACTGCTGGAGAACACATTTCCTCACGCTGCCCCCCCCCCCCCCCCCCCCCCCCCCGTTTGTATTTAAATGTATTGCTGCCATTAGCTTTATCTCATTTGTTTATCTTCTACAGAGATGATGACCGGCCGAATCCTTCCGTTTGTCTTTGTCTATTTCCTGTCCTCTCAGACCCCAGTCAGTAAAGACAGAAGGTTGCCCATCCCAGGGTGGATTCTGGTTCTACTGGAGATTTTTTCCTGTTAAAAGACGAGTGGTTCCATCCCATCATCACTGGTCATTTTACTGTTTTTCTCAAGGATGGAGGATGGTGTTAAAGAGAGGATTCAACATGAACTACTGGTTCCTTTATGTTTGGCAAAATTCACTGTATCTGATTCTATTAAAGCTTAATTGAATTTACTTCATACTATGAAGTAGGACCTAACGAGAATTGGATTTGTGGCTTTTTTATACTGCTGTGAATTGACCATTGTAGTGAATTGACACAATATTAATCAACTAAACGAAAATCAAACACTGCTGTCGTAACTTTTGAATGAATCCTATTTTGGCAGAAATATTGTAATGACTGAACTTTGACTACTGATCCCTGCTCAACCCCCTGACCATGCTGAATTCTCTCGCCGCTGCTCTATTCCCGCGTTTTTCCACGTAGCTAATCGCTTGCAGTTTAAACTGTGCAGTTTTGTTTACCTGTTTTCCCGCTATAGCCGCAAACGAAACGTAGCGGGAAAACAGGTAAACAAAACTGCTCTGTGTTTTAAAAAAGCAACTACAGCATGGAAATATACGGTTGTCTTTTCAAACTGTCTCCACATGCTATTGGACAAGGAACAGTGTGACATACTCACTGTTACGGATGTCAGTCAACAGGGCAGTCCTCTATACATTGTCAAAAAGACACAAATACACCATCTTTCTAAAAAAAGAACTTATGTGCCTATATCTGCTCTTAACTAAAAGAAAAACACAAATCACATTCAAACAAGTTGATGCCAACTTTGCTTATTCGCTCAGTGGCTTAAAACCCCACCCACCAAATAAATATACCTCTGTGAATGGCATGGCACAAGACTGTTCAGGGCTGCTGAGGCTCTAATGGAGCATGGCTACACCGACATGCAGCGCAACGTAATTTTGCTTTAGCTAAGGTCTGTCTAAATCTCTATAACAAGTTGTAAGATGTTTTACAAAATTTTAAAGCAATCAATAAATACGAAACTAGATATTCTTTTCTCCTTTCAACTGCAAAGTGGGTTTCAAATAAAAAAAATTGTATCAGTTAGTTTGAAAGCTGTCATGATGAGATAAAAAGAAAACTTGCGAAGTGATGCAGTCACTGAAGGACAATAAAACATGCCATAACCAACCATGTTAAACTATAATCCCAAAATCATTTCAGCCTTCCTTTTTAAAGTCAAGTAAAGTCCTGCTCTGAGGTTTGTGTTAAGATAAGTACATCCCGTTTTCCGCAGTTGCTTGTTGACAGTGGAATGTTGGCTTGTTTACTGCCTTAAGGAGAACTGTGACTCTGGGAGTGAAGTCAGGGGATGCTAGCCTGGCATGCCAGACTAAATAGATGTATTTGCAAACTTTGCAAAGCAAGAATTTGGTCTAGTTCACTAGGCTAAGGGGATGCCTCTGTTAGCTAAACATCCTGTTTCCCTGTTTAAATACATTACATTGTTTGGTGTTAAGTGTGTGAAAAACACAGGAAATGCATGAGGGTCATCCACGTTTGTGAGATGAGAAAGCAGGCTGACTTCCTGAACTCTAAATAAAGTCATGCAAGTGGGAAAAGTCATGGTCATAGCATTTTTCTGCTCCATTTTAAACAAAGGACACTTTATTTGGACTTGTAACCCAGATCAATTCTAAATGGTAGTCTGATTTAAAAAAAAAAGTAACCAGGCCAAAAAAGTCATTTCTGAGTATCTCGATAACCCAGTGTGAGGCGTCAGATTTAGTGTAAATAAGTGCACTCATATGAAGCTGATGTAAGGTTTTTGAAAAGAAAATAACACCATTAGACTGTTTCACCTTTGCTCTCTGACAGTCAGCTGCAGAACAGTACACAACAGAGACAAAAAACCTGATCAAACAATAAAAGATGTCCACAATGTGTGTCATAGGTGCACATGTGAAGGTTGAGGCTGCATCTACAGAGGTGTTTTATATAACGGCAACATAAGACGGTGGTAAAAGCTGTATAAAGCCAGAGAAATACAATGAAACTTCTCACACAACATGCTGTCACTATGACAACCACACAGAATTGTTTAGCCTGATCTCTTGCCTTTCTGCACAGCACAGAAATCCAATAGCATTTAAGCCTTGCACAACCAAGCCACAGATTCACTCTGCAGGACACATGTTTGCAAATAAGGTTCACACATCCATTCATGGATTTTATTTAGAGACACTTTCAATGCAGTTTTATTTTTGAAAATGCTTTTGGAAATATTTTAGGGTGACTAACTCAAAGTTGCAACAGAAAATACAAGTAAAACCTCAACATCTTTAGGTACATTCATATTTTAAATGTTTTGTCAAATGTAATTATTAATTTAGTGCAAACATATGTGTATGTCATATATATTTGTAATTATTAATTAACTAATTAGACATTCAGCGGATTCTGATGTAATTCCACGTGATGCAGCTGTCTCTAAGATATTGAGCGTTTACATATAGTTTAGAAACAGTATTTTATTAAATTATTCGGCCAACACAACCCTTATTTATGAAAGAAAAAGAGCGAAATGTGTTAATGGACGAGTGCATGTGTGTGCAGCAGAGTCCTTCCTCCAGATTATGCTCTAGTTCGCGTAGTATCACACAGCCGCTTTCCTCTTGTATCAATGCGTGATTGAAGGAAACTTCTTTTGGGAAGTGCAGGGACTACTTTACTCGTCCACACGTCTCAAATATGCAACATTTCCGCCTATGGATATCAAAGAACGCAAAATACCACACGGTTTATTAGATTTTAATCGGAAAGAAAAAAATCCTTGTTGGCGAGATTATTTTAATAAAAGATCAACGTGTTTTCACTACGTCGCGGAAGGATCTAATTTTCTCAAGCGAGGGTCGACACATCCGCCCAATTTTCCGATGTTTCATTCCCCCCTCCTCCTCCCGAGTTGAAAATGGACTTCAGTAAAAGCAGTTGTCCACCAACTTCACAAGGAAAATGCATGCCTGTGTGCTTTTATTCTACACGTCTGCGTTACCACTGAAAGTATTTTAATATTTTTGGGGGGTGGGGGGCTTTGGATGCCTTTACTGCAACATTTCTCGGACACGTTGACGGAGCGACGCCGCACAGCGCTTTTTCAAGTGTTGTCCTGGACGTGAAGTTGGCGAATGGATGCTCGACATAAATAACCTGCCAAACCTTCAACTCTGTAACCATTTATACCCCCTTTCTTCCTTTTTGAGGATTCATTCGCATCTTTGAAAAAGAAGCGAGGACCTGCGTTTAATGATGAGGATGGTGAGAGCGTCGGCTCGTTCGTTGTGGTCGGATTTTACTTCCAGGGAGGATACTATGAATCAACGACTGTCATTCCTCCTCGCTAGTGTTTAACGTTACTCAGAGAGCTAAACTAGCTTCGCTTGGTGTTCCCAGGGGACGCTCAGTTAGGCATGCCTCTTTGTACACCGCTCACCAACTACCCTAAATGAGAGCGAGTTCTGTTTGTGGAGGAAAATGGTGATTTTTGTGGTATTTTATCCCGCCGTCACTGCGTCGTCGATGCTATTGCTAGGGTTTGGATCCCCGTGAGGAAGAAAATGAGTGAAGATTCAACAAATCCAAACAACGAGTGAGTACATTTTGTGTTTACATGTTTTTATATTCACCACAAACATATAAAAGTGTTCCACATTTGAGTGCAAGCACGCAGTGAGTTCCCATGACATTTCTAGCCATGCTACCTTGGTATTTCATCAGTCCCCTATGTTTATACTCGCGACGACTTATTTTAGTTCATTTAAAGACGAATAGAAACGATTTGCTGCAACTAAAATGCAGATAGTACTTTTGTGTTTCTCATCTTATGTTGTTATGACAGAGCTACTATATATATATACACACACACACACACACACACACACACACACACACACACATATATATATATATATATATATATATATATATATATATATATATATATATATATATATATATGCTTAATGGATTTATACTCTTTAGGCCATTTAAGGTGTTGCAATTTTTGCTTTTGCATAATTTTTGTAAGGAATTCCGAGCTTGAGTTGTTTATTTTGGACATATCTGCACAAGTGAGGCATTAATGGGTTCCCTCGTGGCCTGGTCCGGTTTAGATGTGTAGTTTTAAATGTGTGTTCCGAGTACATCATGATCAAGACGAGGTTATTTTGACAGTCTGGCTCTGGCTCTGGATCTGTGTGTATGTGTGTGTGGAACTGCTGTCCGCCATGATTTCGGCACCATGCATTAAAATCGCACGGATGTTTGTGTCCAAATTCAACAACGATCCCAAATAGCTCGTTTGTGCTTACTTCAATACCGAAGAAGCGACGATGCCATTTTTCCTCAATCACACACATTTACATATCACAATCCCCATTCATAAAAAAAACGACGTTACATTCACTCCTTAATCCCCGCACACAGGCCACACACACCAACTGTAATCTGTACATGTTGTTCTTTTGTGCTCGTCGCGTCCATTTCTAGCAGCCTTCGGTATTGTTTTAATGGGGCTGATCCCCCTGTGAGCGCTTGTTGACAGTCAGTGAGAAATATCTGCTTCGGGAGGTGCTGCGGTCACATGATCCCCTCCATTCATAAACTACCTGCCTGCCCATTCACAGCCGCTGTACACTGTTTCGCATTGCACTGACGATCATCCCATTTTCGGTAAACACTGCACAATAAAAGCACGATTGCACATAAACGTATAAATAGAATTATTTTTCAATATCGCCAAATTTCAATTCCTCTCTATTTCAGGGGATTTTTGGCGGTGATGAATTTGTCACAGACAGAGGACGTTAAATTCCCTTTGTCGTGGATTGATATTCGAACACACCCATGTTTTCCCCTGTTTCATCTCTACTTGGCCTTTTGTGAGGTTGATTGATTTAATGCATGGGTTTTTTGTCCTTCAAGTGCTCTTGTGTTCTTATGTAACATCATTCATGCAGTTATTTTTCCTAGGTGTAAAAATAAACCACTCATTTATATATGGAGGAAATTATCTTATTGTTTGCTATTTATCTTGTAATAGTAGGCTTTTTATGTTTTATTCTTAGGGAGATATTTCAGTTTTTATATTTTATTTTAGCAGATGCCCATGATACATTCACACTCTTTAAGAAGGAAAACAAATAAATATTGTATGTTTCTTCAGAATAACCGAGAAGACCTAAGGTCCCACTTTGGGAATTTCTGCTGTAGGCCTACAGTGGTGTTTTAACTACAGCGCTCGGTTTTCTCCCCATTGCATGATGGCGGCAGCTACGGTAATGAAGAGATCTGAACATCGTTGTTATGATTCCACCACCTTTCTGGCAGTTGTATGATTCGTGGTATTGAAGCGAACAGACTACAAAGAAGACAGCTGTCCTAGTTTACTAAAATACATCAAATATTGTGGCTTTTTTCTTTTTAGACACAAGTCTGTACCTTTTCACAATCTGACATTCAGCTGACTTCCTTTAAGATGGTACATTTGGGTCTTGGATGAGTCATGTGCAGAATGAAAACTAAAAAAGCCATTTCCTAGAAATACTTGTGTGTGAATGCGAATTACTTAAAGGTTCCATACCAAGCTTTCTCCTTGAGAGAAAAGTTAGGCACAGTTTATGATAACATATTACTGTTGGCACTGTTGAGATGTCATTTATCTTTAATACGAGTTATTTTCATCAGCCTGAATTTATACCCAAAAATTAAACGCTTAGTTTCAGTGAAACTCCGCCCACACCTGCTCAGACAAAATGTGTCTACAACAGCATCTTAGGCAAGTCGGTTGCTGCATTGGCTATGGTAGTCCAGTGGTTAAAGCGTCTGCGCATCAGTTTTGCCATGTTCTGACATGGGTTTGACTCCTTGTGGTGTTGGCAGTAATTTATTTATCCTGCTGAAGCAGATTTCATGTGTTTATATTTTAGTTTTATTGATTGTTTTCTACAAAATATTTTATGTCTCTAATCATTGAATTTGGTCATTTCCAAGCAGCATTTTAGTTGATTTACTCTGCTCACCTCACATGGACTCACATGTGCTAAATGAAGAAAGAAAGTTTAAAAAAACAGATTAGTCCATACTTTTTAAACATTTTAAAACCTGTTTAATCCTAACACCTGTGTTAATCCTAACACCTGTGTTAATCCTAACACCTGCCAATTGGGGGCCTCCCCAGTTTCATGTCCCTAACATCTACAACTATCCACATTCTCCAAACACAACTAAAACCACAATCAAACAGCACAGATGAGAAACAAGGCCATTTAAAATTGTAATAAATTAAGATACAATGATATTTGAACTTTATTTTAGAAGAGCATCTTACCTTCACTGGTGTCTGCTGGGAAAAAAAACCCTTGAACAAATTTAGTTGAGGACCCCTGGAATAAATAAAACAATTGACTAAATTTCCTAAATGGAAATTGAACTCACAACCTCCATCCTGTCAGCACGTTCACACAGGGCAGCTCTTCTAAAATAAAGTTCAATTATTATTTTATCTTATTGTATCAAAAACAAAAAATGGCTTTGTTTGCAATCCAACTGTTTTGATTGTAGCTGTAGCTGTGCTCGGGCAATGCAAACAATCACTGACACTTGGGATATGAAACTCCAAAGGCCCCCAATTGGGAGGCGCCAGGGCCCAAAGAAAAAAGGCCTAGGGCCTGAAGGATTAAAGGTTGAAGATATAATGCTGGCAAGTGTAGCTAAAAAAGAAGACCGGGATGAGAACCTGTGCGAAACTACATGCCAGCTTAGCGCTCTAACCACTGGACTACCAAGTCTGTTACATCGTCACACCAGCCTCCTGAGCCACATATCCTGTGGTGGCCAGGGGAGACAGGTTTCAGACCAGAGGCTAGCTTCTGAGAGAGGAGCAGGACCTGATGACAAGATCAGTTTCCGTTGACGCTTTACAAGATTTTCAAATTAAAACTCAAAATTTGCAGCTGAAACAAGAAACTGCTTGAATAAAGCCAAAAACATTTTTTTTCTTTTTTCGTGAGGAAATAATATAACATGGGGAAAATCTCCAAATAGTGGATTTCCCATGATATGGTCCCTTTAGCCATTTCCTAACAGGTAAGTTCTCATTTTAAAGCTCTACTTTCCAGCTTCTGTACATTTCCACAAGATCTGATTAGAGATGAAAACTGATGTGGTTTTGTCTGAATGATAGTTGGTAAGCCAAGCTGTGTACAGCACACCCTCGGATGAGAACATGTTGCTTGGCCTTGGTGCAGCGGTGCTCACAAAGCTGGAATGACTAGAGTGCACATTACGTTTTCTGAGATTTTGGTTTGAGTCTCGTCTGGCATGTGTGTTAGTGTGGAGAAAGTGGTGTGAGCTGAGGTTTATGTGAATGTTGTAGACCAGGATTCTGGTGATGATGGGAGAAAATGTACATTTGCTTTGTTCTAGCATTGTTTTTCTACCTGTAACCTGAAATATGACTCTTAACCCTCTGGAGGCAGGCGTTGCAGATTTGCCACGTTAAAACCTACCTACCTGGTTACTCCACATACGTATTTCATGAGCTTTTTTTAACACAGAAGTACCGCTGAAGGACTTAGTTGTTCGTCATTTTATCAAAGCTTATTTTGAGCCTGAGAGGGTTAAATGTTCCATTTTTCTACTCAGACCATAATCTGTTGAGGTTCACTGTATGTTTATCCTTTATTTGTGTACAGTATAAACGCTTTCTAGATTGCAACAGTTACTGTTTTGAGCTACAACCATGGCTAAATTACATTATTTGATTGCCCAGCTAAAGTGTTGTCTTAAGAAATTGAAATAAAGCCAATAATTTCTTTTTTGGTGTCCCTTTGAAGGATTTTAAAAACCATTTATATGTGTGTGTTACTCTTAAATACACTATTACCATCTTTACCATTGTAGATATCCTGCAGGATGGCCTCCAGAAATAACATTTACATCCTTCAGGACGGATGAGCAAGTTGCAAATTTGTATGTAGACAAAACTAGAGGGCGTTGTCAACGTTTCAAGTTAGGGGTAGATCAGCCGATTTATCGGGCTGATATTTACCGTTTCTTAATTCTTCGGGATCGGCCAACATTTGTCCTTAGTAAAGCTGATTTAAAGTCAGGCACATTCTCGGGCAGCCCGGTGCTGCTGCAGAATTTATTTTAAATGTATTTTTGACATTTACTAATAACAACTGCATAATAAATACTCTTAATTAACTTTATTTAGGTCTCTGACTTTAACACTGAGCAGTGCACAAAGTTAAGATTTAACAGTTAGTTAAATTAAGAAATTTTGTGCATCAGCTGATGTTATTAGTGAAGTTTTAGCATGAAAATAATGTGGAAAATGTCTAGCTTTCGGCCATGTATCGGCGTTGGTATCAGCAATAGAAAAACTACTATCGGTCAACCTCTATTTCAAATGAACATTAATCATCAAATATCCACTGTGATCAATGCAAACAATATTAAACAAACTAAAATAGTTTTTTTATTTTAGGTTTTCCCCACAAAAACACATTTCAGAACTACTGTAATGTCTCTAATTCTTAAAAACTTCCGGTCTACACCTGTTGACAGCCAATGCTGAAGTTATGT